CCTTCCTTTAGAAAGAAGGGACACCACATTAAGCCATGGGCACAGTTCATCAGTGCTCCCAACTTTTATCCTTAAGAGGAACTAGCAGCTATGCTCTGCAAAGTAAAGTCCCGGGGCAAGGGCAGACCCCTGGCATGAAGCTATGACCGTGCAAGCACGACTGAGATGGACTGGCTGTCTCTGCATTACCCTGACAGGTGATTACTTCAAAATATGACTTGCTAGTCAGCTGAGGCGAGCAACATACTCTTGCTCCCAAAGGGGCAGGAGGAAATATTTCGAAGACAATACGAAGAACAGCCTGAAAACGTCAAATACTCTTACAGCACCCTAGGCACAAACTCAATAGAGAGCTAAGTGGGGAGCAACAACAACATGAGGAAACACAGTCAAGAGAATCACATCCTTTGTGGTGCTAGTAACAAATGTGTGGGCAGCTGAAACCCGGAGAGACTCCCTCATCAAAAGCAACCTGGCCTGAACCTCCCAAGAGAGCCAAGAGTTTTGCTTTGCCCTAGCCTTGTGAGTCGCGTGGAGGCCCATTCATCACCGTGATAATAAAAACAAGAGAACTCATTGCTAAGGATTTTAGTGGCTGTGGGTTTTGTTGTTGTTGTTTGTTTGTTTTTTCCCAATTCTGTGGCTGTTGGTGCAATGGCAGAATCCATGCAGTGCTGCCATGAGCCTATTTGCACAGAGGTGGCTGGTCTGACCTCAGCCCCAGTAGGGCTGTATTGGCTGTACACGTTACACACATTTTGGAATGACACAGTGCTTGTAGGAACATGCGTCTGCTCCGGCATTGGCACCAACAGGAGCATCTATGTGTGCTTCCTGTTACACGGGTGTGCATGACACTGCCTGTACAGCAGTGTGGGTGTGCACTGCCTCCATGAGTGCACGAGAGCTGATGCACGCCCTGGGCCTCCTCCTTTCTGCCGGGATCCATGTGCTTTCATGTGTGCCTGTGTCAAGGGCAACCCTGTAAAGCTGCTGGCTACAGCATCTGCTGTCTATCGATCCTGTAGCGCTTTCTCTGGAAGCATCATGTAGCTCCTTGTTCTCCATCCCCAGCACAAAAGAAGCTCCTGGGTGATGCCGTGGCAGGCACGCACTACAGAGCAGGGATCTTTCCAGAAGCCCTACGATTAATGTAGTGACTGTTGCCACCTTTTGCCAGGAATATTTACAAATACATTTTTTAACTCCCTCTTAGGCTTTTAAAAGCGCTTGCTCTGACTTTTCTCTAATGAGGCTAACAAAGGCTTTGCATCTTCCCCTCTTCAGGATTTTTTTATCATGTTTCACTTGCTATTGGTAAGCACAGTCTGACGAAGAGTTTCCCCTTACTTCTGGTGGAGGACGGGGTTGATCTCCAGGCTTTTTCCCAAAGACCATTTAGTCTGACTTGGATCTCCTCTTTGTCGTTACAAATCAGGCAATCCCATTGACTCCAATTTATGTTGGTGTTAATGAGACAAGTCCAATACCCACTGCAAACTGGTCTTATAGTGCAAATAACAATGAGGACAGGGCAATCATACAGACCATCTTAACTGGCTATCTGGATTTGTTCAAATAAGTGTTTTTGTTCAGTCAGATGCAACTGGCACAAATAGGAAAATGGAATGCAGAACGTAACAAAAAACAACCCAGTCCTGGCTCTGGTTTAAAACACATATTTTAAAAAGGATCCAGGGCTCTCAGAGACCACACAACCAAGCAGAAACTTCAGTGTGATGCTATAGACTGCTGAGAGTATAAGCAGGGGAGTGAGTCACAAGCAGGTGATTTTCCTTCTGTATTTGGCACTGGTGAGTTGGAGGTGGGAGCCCTGTGGACAGAAAAGTGCAGAGAAGACACCCCAGGGTGATTCAAGAGCTGAAGAAAATACGTTGCAGTCAGAAGACTGAAAGACCATAATCATCTCTTTAATCTCCCCAAAAGCAAATTGAATGTAATATGAATATAGTATGTAGGTACCTAGACAGGTGAAAGCATCAGACACCATGCAGTTCTTTATCCTAACAGAGAAAAGTATGAGAAGAATCAGTGGCTATAAGCTAAAGCCAGACAACTTCCTTCTAGAAGCCATGCCCATGATGTTACCCTGGAGGGCAATTAACTGCTGGAAAGGACCCTCATGGGATATGGCAGACTGGTCACTTCTTCCAGTCAAGAGTCAACACCTTACTAGAAGTCAGACTTTGGTGAAACTCAAGCGCCTGTACTCAACACACAGTGAACCCTAATGTCCCTCATTGCTTACAGGTCGCAGAAGAGGGTCTAATGGCTTTAAACGACAAATTCATTTTCCATTTAAACTTAACAAATCCATGGGTGCAATATGACATTGTCATGCTAATGCAAGCTGTGTCTATCCCGAATGTCCTGGAGAGATGTGCATGGGAGTTAGGACGTGCTAGAGGATATTGCTGTGCACTTGAGATAAGAGACAGAAGACATTTCAACAAGGGAAAGCTGTGTGATACCCAGGCAACTGCCAGATGTTCTCACCACCTGCAGGAGTACATGAGAGTGAAAATAAGCCCTTGGGCACCTACATCTGTCTTTACTCCATATTAGACACCCAAAAGGTGGCATTCCTTTTTGTTAAACGCTTCTGTTTAAATACTGTCCCTCTTCGGCCATCCCAAAGCTGGTGAAACCAATGGCAAGACTCAGCAACTGAGAAAGAGGATGCAGCAAGGATAAAGCTATGTGTAGGCAAGGCAACACTAAATGCCAGGGGCTCTTCCAAATATGATCATGATCTGCTAAGGGATCCTCAGCTTCCCTTTATCCAGTCCTAGATTAGGACATTAACAGCGCTCCATACTCTCTGGATGAAAGGCTATGATTATTTACAACATATTAATGTTTTTTTTAGATGAAAGATATTAAGAACCATTTTTAAAAATATAAGCAAAACAATTTAGCTCACATCTTCCCTCTTTTCCTATGGGCTTTTCATCGCACCTCATAGGGACCCAATAGCCCCAATACAATGCCACTGGCAGGCAACGACAGAGGGAAGGACAGCAGGGTGTACAGGATGAGCTTAAGAGGCAGCCATGCATTATGCCCTTTCCTTGTCTACCACATTCCCTAAGGTCCTGGCAAAGGAGGAGGAGAGGGGACAACAGCAAAGATATGCTTAGAAAGAAAACAAACCAAAACAAAGGAACTCAATCAAAATAGTACAGCCTCTAAGGCTCAAGCATTGCACAAAAGGAGGATCAGAAGTAAGCTAGGCTCTAAAAGGCAGAGATGACACCGAAACCAGGTGAGAGCAAGAACACAGGAGGGCAGAGAATAAAAGTTGATCTGCCTACAGGAGGAGGAGAAAAGGAGGGAGGGGAAAGAGGAGAAAAAGGGTCATATTTTTGGAGTTGGGGGTTGGAGACTTGATTCTGGTGTTTGGTTCTTTTTTTTCTTTTTCTATTTGTTTTCATAAAGGAGCTCACACCTGATATTCCTCGTTCCATCCATTTCGGTTCACCAAGGGCAATGAAGAAATTCTCCTGCCTTTCGTATTCCTCCTCATCTACTATTTTAACCCTTACGGTCTTCCTGTAGGGACAACAAGAGAGACAACCGTGTACAGCGGGTGGACCAGTTGGAGGAGACGCAGCAGCAGCACCACACGCTTCTCACATGCAGCCCATTCCCCGCTGCCTGGGGCGGTGTGCCGTTGGCCTGCTCGTTTGACATGGAGCATCGGTCGCAGCTGGTCTTTGGGGAGCGGGAGGGTGTTAGGGGGAGATGAGGCTGGCGAGAGGGGTGAAGAAGGGGATGGGGAGGAGGGGGAAGGAGGTTTGGACCTTGCTGATGGTTAGTGGGAGGCGACTTCTGCAGCACATTTTTTTCAGTGTCACATGGTAATAGAAAGGGTACTGGCTGACCAGAAAACCACCAGGAACCACCCTGGGGTACCCAGTGCATTTTAGCTGAAAGGTCAATTGCTTCTGCTACCCTTACAATTAGTAATAAATCTGTAGGGACTCTGCGCTTGGAGACTAAGAAGAAGAGAGAGAGATGCGTACTCACAGACATGCTCCCCAGTGGGGGTGAGTCAGGTCTTTGCAGTCAGGCTACAGCTCTGTTAGCTTCAAAGGATGCTGATATTTCTAATTTCCATTTTTAAAATGGCATATCTTATTGCTTCTGCTCTTTGATACTGTCTGCCTTCTCTCCCTGACCTGAATGTTCCCTGACCGAGAGATTCAGCTTTCCATGAGAGCAGACAGCTTTGCTGAGAGCTCACCGAAGACAGAACAGTACTAAAATACCTCAGAGATGTGAATGCAAATACCCTTGACACGGGAGCAGGGCTGTCTCCTTTTCCCTGCTGCCAGGTTTCCAGGCTATGTCTAGCACCCCTGCAATGCATGAAGATACTGTGAGCCCTCAAACAAAGCAAAAGCGGAGTGTCAGCTCTCTTTCCTGCCCTGATCAGTCACTCCCAAAACACTCAGTAGCAATGGGACTGGAGGGTTCACAGCCTTTACCCAGCCCTTCTGAGAATTTACTAGGGGCTCTTTCTCTTGCTAGGCCTTGATTCCTGTGTTTTGCTAATGTAGGACTATCAGGACACCCCATTAGAGTAGGGCAGGGGGATGATTTCCTAAGATGCTGGATGTGTTTCTAGCAAGCGTCTTCCCACTGATGCTACAAGACTTGCTTGAGCAGGCTCAGTCCTTCAATGGGAATGGTGGAAGGTCCCTCTTTGAGCCATTGCAAAAATATTTACGACTAGGACTGTACTATCCTTCTCTCTCTCCTTCCCTTGTCCCCTTTCCCAGGCCCCCCCAAACACAGTTCCCACTCCACTCATGCTCCATAGGTACCATGTGACACAGGTGTGTGCGCGCAGCAGTGTTTAGGATAGAGCAGTTGGAAACAAAAAGAAATCAGAGGAAAAGGAGAAGAGGAGGAAGGGCAAGAAAGAGAAGAGGAAAGAAGAATGTTAACGTTAGTCTGCAGGGCCAGTACTACACCTTTCTGTAAACTCATATCCACCATGCGTGGGCTCATCAGCTCAATGAAGAAATTCTTGTTTTTTTCATACTCCTCATCATCAATTACCTTGATGTGAATTGTTTTGCTGTGAATGGAAAAATAATAAGTGTCATAAAGGGAAGAAGAGAGCAGAGAAGCAGAAGTGGAGGAAGGCAAGTAATTGCATGGGAACATTAGACAGTCAAAGTTTTCTCACTCACTGAATAAGCTCATCATGGCCCTTGAGAAAGGCTAAAGCCCACTACTGCAAGTGACATTGGCCTATCTTCTGTTTAACCAGAAGGCCTGAAGACAGGATACACTGTGCAAAACGTAGTTGAACGCAAATAGCTCTGGTCCCCTCGCAAACTGGCAAGGGGCTGAAGAATTGCAATACAGATGAGCACAACTGCTCACAGCACAGTGTTCATGCAACAAAATCTGACTGGCACACAGAGAAGCATGCTCTGTACACACATACATAAAAACACACGCACAAGTACACACCACACAGGCACCATGCTGTTACCCTCATGTTGGGAACATCAGTCTTTCAGAGAGACACTAAGTGACCACATGGGAAGATACTGCAACCTTTACCTCTGAGCTCCTCATGTTAAGGTGGGCCATAGGTGAGGCTAGTCAATCAGCTGTCTAAGGGAAAACCTGCCTCTGCAGCTGACTGAGTAGTGCTGCTTGCTAGACTAGCTGGGCAGAAAATCCTATGTCTCTTCTTAGGCAAATTTCTTATGAGTTCCAGGAGCATTTTGTGGGAAAAGAATGAAAGAGCTTGCCATGACATGGTTTCTTTCACAGCAAATAAAATGTCTTAAACAGAGATCACAGTTCTTTGGCTCTCACTCCTACACACATGCACACACGAACACAACAATCTAAACAACTTGATGGCTTTGCCAATTATGCTGTCTCCCTTTCAGCTAGGGTTGCACTGATTGTCTCAGGCTGAAAATTATACCTGCACTTTGCTTGCTTTCTCATCAGTTGAAAGGCTTGATAAAATCACATCTCTCACTCATGACAGAATGGATTGGTGTTTTCACTCTGGGATGATCGCACACCCTCTTAACTGTAAAGTTGTCTGCATATGCACCGATGATCACATATACTTATATGCACGTACGTTCTGAATGGGCATGCATTTGTTATCTTGGGGCTCCCAGACTTCCAGTAAGCCATGATCCCAAACTGGAATTGCATTTTTTTTAGTGAAAAAATGCACAGAAAAAATCCACAGAACGTGCATTTCCATTACCCCCAAGCAACTGCTCCTGAGAATCAGGCCAGCTGCCCATCTCACCAGGGAACAACTTCCCCGTCCAACAGCTTGGTACCCACCCACATACATCTCCCCCACGACCCTTCTGCAATGACCGCAGCAAGTTCCCTGCCCATCCTCAACATTTGGATCAGTCCCTGGTGCATTTTGTATCTATAATTTGTCTTGACTGTGTATAGAAATGAGGAGAAAAGCAGGACTGGAGATCACAGAGCCTGAGTAAAACAGTCCCAGGCTTCAAACTACTGTACATGTCTCAGTTTCCCTGTAAGTGAGCTGTTGTGTTAACGTGCTCATAGGGTTTTCAGGAAGATGTGGATCTTTATGACTGTCAAATACAATGAAACCTACTGCTAGGAAGTACTGTAGACCTAAGAAACAGCATTACACTATTCTACCTTTTGCCTTGTTGGGAAAAGGACTGATGCACTACAACGGTGGTGTACATCAACAAACACACCTAGTGCTAAAGCAAGCGGGATTTGGACATCTTTCTCATACCTGCTGTTGTTTGGGAACTTGAGCTCCTCCTTTCACCAGGATGATGAGAATGATTTCCTTTGCTTCCACGAGAAGCTGACCTAGTCCAGGCTGTCTGTGGAGGTACTGCTTAGCGCTCTTTCAGTATGGGGCTGGAGTTGCTAAGCACTCTGCCGAATTCAAGGAGAGCTGAGCACTGACTACAAACTACAAGTTTAGTCTCAAAACTCAGTCAGCGTCCCTCACCAGTAATTTTTCACCGATCACCCCAGAAATCCTCAGCTCATACATCAGTGACCTTGTTATAAATAAAAAACTGTACATGGCCTTACTGTTTTGAGTATCAGGCACTAAATGATACCTAGTATCTTTGATCCCGTAGCACTTCAGAGAGTAAGCACTCCAGTCTCGAATCCTGGGGATGCTGTGACCTCAGCTCCCGCCAGCATAGGTGGTGGTGTTATTGGAGACCCAGCTGCGTCTGAGAGCAGAAAGGGCAGATCTCAGGCTGTCACCCCTTGGAGCCAGGCCTGGATGAATGCAGTAGCACTGACCTACGCTTAGTAGCTAACACTTAAACAACTGCTCCACTTAAGAGCAGCTAAGGAAAAGAGCACTTGCAAATTGTATAATACCTGAGGAAGGTTTCCTGACCCTACAAAAATCATTTCATGACATGAAATAGGAGAGTTGATTAATTTTCATTGCTGCAGTTTGCATGCCTACTGGTACCAGTAACGACCACAAAATTATCCAGTTCTCCTACCGTTTGACTCCTGAGACATCACTGGTTCTCCGCTCCGGCTGTGTAAATCCCGCTCCCTGTGCTGGCTCTTGCTCTCACCAGGTCCCAGCCCTGTCTGTCAACGATGGCACAGGGGACTGGGGAAGAGTTTTAACAACCTTTGCTATATCCTTCAGTGTTAGGAATTCGCAGGAAAAATCATCTCATGTTCTTCTCAGCTAAATTATCTTTATTTTTGCCAGCGCTTGTTCTACAAACAACCTGTACTAATGACTAATGCTAGCAAGCCTCCTTTTCCTTCTCCAGACCTTTTCAATCTCTACTAATCCAGCCTGAAAGTTTTTAAACAATGTGTCTCTGGTGTAAAGGTTGGTGCCCTGCAGAGGCTCCATCACAATGATTTCATTGTATTTTCTTTGGAGAGATTGACTGAATTTCTCTTTTGAACCAGATGTTGTCTGGGTCACTAGTATTTTGCAGAGGTTTTTCAATTTGCTGAATTAAATCTACATCTGATTCATAACTCTAATCTCTTTCTTGCTCTTACTACAAAATAGAAGGTGGGATTTTTGGAAGTAGCCAGTGCTTCCTAAACTCCCGTTGCTCTTGAAAATTCCATTCACAAATAGCACTGCTTACGTTTTTCAATGATTTGCAACTGCTGCTCTTTTTATATTTTTACTTTTCATGACTTGAATTTGCTAATTTTTCCCTCAGCCTTTCTTCGGAGGGAAAATATGTGGAGAGAGAAACAAAGAAGAAATCAGTGTTTCACTTTAAAAAGCAGAAAAAGAACACTTTTTTTTCTCTTTTTCTAAAGGGGGTCTTCAGTGTGAACAGCCCCACATTACTCAGTATCTGCAACAAAACTTGTCTGCAAAGGATGCAGATGCTGTTTCCTGGAGGCCGGTTTAGGTATTGTGACAAAGCCGTTCTACTGCTTTAGGTGATAGGTATAATGAATGCACATTATTTGGAGTTTGGCTTTTTACAGCAGCTCCCATTTCCGTGAGTAGTGTATGCGCATACTGAAGTGGAGATGAAATACTCATTTAATGAGAAAGTGTGCACGGAAGATGATCGCCATGGCTGTGTGTGTGGAAAGCCTGATTTCACACAATCCACTCAACTGCACAATGAATTCTCAAAGCTGTGGACTCAGGGAAGTAATGACTCACTGCGTGCACATTTTGTTAAGTGCAGAGTGGTCTACACAGCCTACTAAGTAGTTCCACAGGGGTGTGATTTCCTTATAGTCGTCTTTTTTTAATTAAAAAAAAAAGTCGAGAAAGAAAACCCAGGGGATTTCCATAGAGAAGATGCACTTTAAAATGTTGACATTACAAAAGGAAGGCCCCTGAGGTCAGGAAACAGTGTAGTTTCCTAAGACCACTGGGAAACCTTTACTCTGCCCGCCGGTTTGCCAGAGGCTGCAGTCCCTGGGCTCTGCCTCTCCTCCCCAGGTGACACTGGGTCACCTCTTTTCTCCTCCCTTTGGGGTGGTGCCACCTCACACTTGGGGCTAAACAGATCCACATGCTAATTCTTCAATACTGCTGACACTGAAGAGGGAGGAAAATTCTTTTCTCATTTGCTGGCAGACTAAAAATAGTATACCAGTGAAGGTATTTTGAAACCTGTCCGAACATAGCAGCAGAAGTAAAATAATACAAAAATTGGAATTTCTGATTCTAGGTGTGTTTTTTTTCCCACCAAACCTTCTTCAAAATATGCCTGCGTACAATATGCATGTCTGTGTGTGTGTGTGTGTGTGTGTGTGTGTGTGTGTGTGTATGAATACATATACATATACTCACATACTGCCTTCTGCAACTGGGTGTGTCCATATACATGCTATTCACACCAATCTGAGCACGAGTAGGGGCTACAAACAAGTAAAAAAGGTTCCCTGTCTGAATGGCTATTGTTTCAGCACTCTTGGCAACTGGCCCACTGACTCTTAAGCACAAAAGGCAGAAAGTGAACAGAAGTTATTCCAGAGCGAACAGAGTTTTCTGCAAACTTTTGAGCCCTCTGCTTGCTATATGGCCGTATCTTAGATATTACTTGTTTTCAGAGGGCACAGAAAGATGGAGCCATGTATTAATACTCAGAAATAAATCAAGTAATGTGGCACTGCCTCCAGTACCCCCAAAGCTTTTTTTCTTTGGGCTCACATGCATTCCTCTTTGCTCTCTGCTGATCTCTGCCTGGTATCACCGCCCCAGGCTGCCGGCCCTCCAGGCCCTGTCCCTTGCCCTAACTCTCTGCTCCACAGGAGTGATAGGACAACACCTCGCACACACTCAGTCTGGCTGTGCAACGGGCTTTACCTCGCTGGCCCACCACAGGCCTGATAAACCCACCATACGAGCATTGTCTCTTCTAAACAAAAAAATCAAGCCTACCTCTCTAATGAGCTCACTTTTTCCGCTGGTATCTACAAGGGGAAAGTCCAACTGCAAGACTCTGTCCATGCCTGAAAAGTCCGCTTTCAGCACCAGAGCTCAATTAACTGTTTCTGACACATGCATGCACAGAGGATCACATAGACCTGGATCCTGGTTGTATGTGCGTGGATAAT